TGATTAACGTAGTTAATTTCTTATGATATTTTCCTAGAATCATAATTCACAATAAACTTTAACAAATCAAATTGTCAAATTGAAATGTCAATGAAGATCTCAAAGTTCATCATCACCAGAAGCATTAACGTTCAAAATTTGTACAAAAACTCTCGCATACATCATTCTTACTTCCCCTTCTCATGGGAGAATTAAAGAATTTACTCACAACTTATACTTGAACACACCAATAAACTCATTTGATTGCAAGAGAAATTCAAATACAGAAGTCTTGAAAGTAAAACAATACATTCCACAAAGTAAAACTACATAAACTTATCTCCCTTTCCTCATTATTGAAAAAATATGATCTATAAGCAAAAGTTTCTTAAGATCTCTTAAATATTTTTCTCCTTCCACTGTTGATTTACTTCTATCTTCTTCCTCTCAATTTCTCCTTTCATATTGAAAGAAATGTAAGGAAAAGCCCTTCTAATTTTGTGCTCTCCATCTTTATACTTCTATCCCTGGACCAAAATTTTGAACTATCCAAACTGCTTATTTTCGGGTTCTGGTGCCTAGGCACCACTCACTTAGCCATCATACCATATCTTCTAGCATCTAGACACAATTTAAAAACATTTTATGAAAAATTTAAAAACACATCAGTTGAATCAATTAAGGAGATGGAAATCAAGGAAATTGATCCCATAGGTGGTGGGACTCAGATAGAAGGTGAGTTCAGGGTGTATACACAGAGGAAGAAGCAAATTGAGAGAACAGAGTCTGCAGTTCCAACAAGTCCCTTATTTCGGTTTTTCTCAACTCTCGAGACACCTACACCATCTACATTTGATTCAAAATTCCAAGGTGATATTATTCCTCATTTGTCCACTCTCACACCCCCCAACACTAAGGCGAACCTCTAGTAGCAATACGGGACATTCTCCTGACTGCTTATTATGAGTGGAAACTTGACATTGTGAACTTTATTTCTTATTCTAACATCTCATCTTTGCATTGAGCATTCATTGCATTATTGGAATCTGTCTCTATACGTAAGTGTTGGCAGGTTATTGAATAGGATGCCATGTGGAAAGCAGTGGTGCATGAAGAGCTTGGAGCTCTTGATAAAAACTGAACAAGAAAGATTGTACCACTACCAGCAAAGAAGAAGATAGTTGGATGCATGTGGACCTTCACAATAAAGCAAACTCCATAAGAGAATGTAGAGATGTTCAAAGCAAGACTAGTGACAAAAAGGTATTGTCAAACACATGAAATTGAGTACGGTGAAACATTTACCCCAGTTGGAAAGTTGAGCACAGTGAGAACACTGTCTTCTCTGGCAGTAAATTATGGATGGAGACTCCACCAAATAGATGTGAAGAATGCTTTTCTTTATGAAGAGCTACTAGAAGAGATATATATGGAGATACCACTAGGATTCAGTACATCCCAGATAGTGGGCAAGGTGTGTAGGCTCAGGAAGTCACTGTATGACTTAAAGAAGTCTCCTCAAGTCTGGTTTGACAAGTTTAGAATGGAGATGGTTAGTAGGGGTATCAATTCTAGTTGGAGGGTCGACGGGTCGAGTTTGGGTCTAACTTGAAATGGACCCAACCCGTATAATAAACATGTCAAATTATTTGACTCGAACTTAACAAATATTAGGGTCAACTCCAACCTAAATTTTTTGAGTCGAGTTCGATTCGTGTTGGCGTGTCAGATCAATTTTTGACACCTAGAAATACTAATTTGGGTCGACATGTTAAGTTTAGGTTTGACCCAAAAATGACCCGACAAAAATCGGGCAACCTAAACACTACTCAAATAATAAACAAATCAAATTCTCTAATGATTAAAAAATATTCAGGTCAATCTGAACATGAAATTTTTTGAGTTGAGTTACATGTCGGGTCGATTTTTGAGACACCTAATGGTTGGCATGAGAAATAAGCAGATTAATGTAAACCACGCGATATTCTTTCGACGACATGAATGTCACACTATCACACTTACTGTGTATGTGGATTACATAATTGTCATTGATGATGATGAGAAAAAGATTGCTCAACTGAAAGGGAAGATTGTGGAAGCAATTTAAGGCAAAAGACCTGGGACAACTCAACTACTCTATTGGGATAGAAATGGCCCATGGACTAGAGGGGATGATCTAGAAAGTATGTACTAGATCTTCTCATAGGGACAGGTATGTGGGGGTGCAAACTTGCAATCTCTTAGATCAAACACAACACAGAGGCAAGTGAATCAGTTAATCATGAGAGGTACCAGAGGCTAGTAAGTCGCCTAATCTATCTGTGTCAAACTATCTGTGTCACACTCGCTCTGATATTTCTTTTGTAGTAAGTGTGGTGAACCGCTACATGCATGATCTAAGGAAGGGTCATATGGATGGGGTATATCAGACTCCAAGGTATATGAAGAGCGCGACAAAGAAATGGTTGATATTTAGGAAGAATAGGCATGTAGATATTGAGGACTTTTGTGCTTTTGACTGGGCGAGTTGTGCTGATGAAAGGAGGTCTTCGAATACTGCATGTTCGTAGGGGGCAACTTGGTCTTCTGGAAGAGCAAGAAAAACTCGGTAGTAGTGAGATCAACAACAGAGGCAGAGTATAGGGTCATGACCTTAGAAGTTGTCGGGACGATGTGACTAAGAGCCTTGTTGGTAGAGCTGAAGGTGGACCAAGGACCTCAAATGAAATTATGGTGCGACAACAAGTCAACGAGCAACATTGCCAACAACCCGGTTCAACATGATAGAACCAAACATGTGGAGATTGATAGACTCTTCATTAAGGAAAAGCTGAATAATAGGCTATTGAAGCTAAGTCATGTAGCCATTGGAGAGTAAGTGGCCGACTGCTCACCAAAGAACTTAGCTCATCAGATTTGTGCCTAAGAGCCTTGTTGGTAGAGCTGAAGGTGGACCAAGGACCTCAAATGAAATTATGGTGCGACAACAAATCAGCGAGCAACATTGCCATGATTAAAAAATATTCAGGTCAATCTGAACATGAATTTTTTTGAGTCGAGTTACATGTCGGGTCAATTTTTGAGACACCTAATGGTTGGCATGAGAAATCAGCAAATTCATGTAAACTTCTCATCATGAGAGGTACGTGGGGGTGCAAACTTGCAATCTTGCAATCTCTTCAATTGATCGG